GGGGGTAGGCAATATATGTGTTCCAGAAAGCTGCAATTTTGTGTATGCTTCCTGATGATGATGTGAAGAAAACTGGGGAGGACGTTGTATCTTTGTTCAGGTAAATTTTTACATTCTCGGTTAAACTAGAATGAAACAGCTAGGAATGCATTTTGCTGCTTGGATTCAAAGCTCTTCTCTTTCCTCATTTATTTTCTTGCTAACTCTTGTCACCAATACTTTATTATCATCAAAATTTTCCCTTTTCTCACCACTTACACTGTCTTAAGATCATCAGTTTGGTTTTGATCATCTCAGGCCACATTCAGTTTGATCTCAGCGATGCTTGCACAGGATTAAAATGGAATATAGATGTATAAATTCCAGTGAATCCTCCAATTTGACCCTGTTGTACAGCCCACAAAACTTTGAGGTGCCTAAGTTCAGGTGGCACTTCTGTTTTGGATGGTAGATTTCCCTACGTGCCTGCACATAGGCTTAGCTTATCTTGTTTTTTTGTTATGTCAAAAAAGAACAATTATACATAGGCTGAGAATAAGTTACTGATAGTAATGGTTCATTCCTCACTTTTTAGAGCAATTCTACCAGTTTACAAAGTTAAGACCATACCAGGCAGGGCACATTATCTTCTATATTTTTTGCAATTGTTCCAAATTGTAATTTGTGTTTGCATTTTTCCAAACCCTAATTTTTCCTGATGATAATTACATGAAACTAGTATTGATTCTACCATGATATACAAAGTGTTTGAATTACATTTTAAAATATTTGTTTTATTAATGGAAAAAATGGCATACAAATATGATTAGTTTTTTAAAAAAATCACCACCTCAGTACATTTTATTCATGTTTGTAATGGCAAAACTTAGTGTCATATTCAGTCTACCCAATGTCACTATTAATATTGAAAAGCTGGTGGACCAGATGCATAAGCCTGAAATACAGTACTAGTATATTTGTACATTAAGAAACATATATTTGAGAAATCTGCTTAATTGGAATGTCTTTGGAAAAACTGATTTCTCAGACCTCTGACACGCATTACATTTAAGATATGATTAACATGTTAATTATGCCTTAAGTAGTAACCTAGCCACACATTCAAGTTTCAGCTTGATAGTGTAAGGGGAGCCTGGGTTCGCTTCCGAACCTGCACTGGCAAGTAATAGGGATAGGGAGGCATGATAGGGATCTAAGCCGCAAATCCAAAATTGCTCATGCATGACAGGAACACAGTTGTTGGAATTGTGGCTTAGATATCATTGCACTTTAAGCTGGACATCTGTCAGAGGCCTCAATTATAGCAAATGGCAAAGAATACTACTTAACTGAGAGCAAATACTTAACCAGCAGCAAGAGCAGTGGTTCTCAAACCTGTTAGATTCAAGGCACCCCATGGAAAATGCCAGCTGTCAGTTTTCACTCCTTTTTTTGAATATAGAAAAATAATAGAACAAGTCTTCTGTTACAGTGAATTCAGAAAGACCACAACAGGTCAGAATAGTTTCAGCACAATGGATTCCTAGTTGAACTCTATGGGTTCATCTTGTAAATCAAGTCTTCAGTCTTAACAGTTCTAACACTGGCACCCTTACAAGGATATCAAGGTACCCCAGAGTGCAATGGCACTATGGTTGAGAATTACTGAGCTACAAGTTCAGTGTTGTTAAAATAGGCATCAGGTCTGTATTCAGTTCTGAGCTTTTATTACTTAATGTTAGAGTTACAGGAGGAAGCATCAATTAAAGGTGAAGTGCAGTGACGGCTTCCATTTTTGCACTTTCATTCTCTGCATTGTTTTGTTTTATAGATTTGTTTTTAGACTTTTTAGGTGTTGTTTTCACCTGAGAGGATTTTCATGTGTTACTGCAGATGGAAAATACAGGTTTCCCACGATTTATGTGGGTTCTTTATATGCAAGTTCACTCTTGTGCAATGAGCATATTTAGACCCATAATTCATTATATGTGAAGTAAATTCACTCTTATGCAAGCAGCATAGGTGCCCGCCCCCCAAGCAGGTAAGTCTTTGTGGGGAGGGGAAAGGGCCGTGGCCCCACTCAACCTAGCCCCTGCTGCAGTGGCCCTGGGAATGGCCAGCGCCAGGTGCCTGCAGGTGTTGGGCTCCCCCGTGCTCTGCCTGCCCCCCCCCCCAATGCCTGGGCTCACCCCAGCTCCTGGGCTGCACCATGTCGTGGTGTCAACTGCTCCTGGGGCTGCTCCAGCATGGGCTGGGGTGAGTGTGGACAAACGGAGCCCCAGGCAGTGTGGGGCGCAGCACTCACCCCAACCCCGGCTGCAGTGGCCCTGGGAGCATCTGACACCAGCTGACTGCACCACAGCATGGTGCAGCCCAGGAGCAGAGCTAAGTGGGGACAGGTGGAGCATGGTACAGCCCAGAGGCTGTAGGCAGCTGGCACTGGCCGCTCCCAGGGCTGCTGTAGCCAGGGCTGGGGTGAGTGCTGCTCTGTCACTTCAGCTTTGCTGACTTTTGCAGCCCCGGGAGCAATACTCCCTGCCCTTCTCTAGCCCCAGCCTCGCTCCCTCCCTCCCTCCCTCACCGCCATGGGAACCTATCCCTATCTGTTACATTGTAAAGTGGGTTCGCTTTATGTGAATTCGATTTATGTGCCATTCTCCAGGAACACATATACAGCATAAATCAAGAGAAACCTGTACTCTTTCGCAGCGCAGAAAACAAGAGATCATGGGAAAAGAAATAATTTAATGTGTCAAAGAAGAGTTTTATATTTTATGCACAGAAAATATTAAATATTAATAACTTGATGATATCTTTTTTCCATTTACAGACAAATAGAAGGCCTAAGGCAAAGAATTGCAGGAAAATCTATTCCAACAGAAAAGTTTGCAGTAAGGAAATCACGTCGCTATGCAAGTTCTCAGCCAGTGAAGCTTATACTACCTGCCCTGGTATTCACAGTTGTCTTATTTCAGTCTTCTTTGTATAATAAAATTAGCATATATTTATCAATAATAAAAAGAGCAACTCTTATACAGCTTGTACCATAAGTTTCCACTATTTATTTTAGACTAGAGTATTTGCAGTCAGTAAGATGAATGTTGCATGTATTTTTATAATGGCATACTTAGAATGTACTGTAATAGGGCTTTCCAAATTTGGCTCTTAATTTTGCAAGTTTTATTTTCAGTGTTTTTTCCCTCAGATTAGAGGTGAATGTTTCTTAAAGTTGGACCAAAGTCACTTGATATTTTTTATTTATTCAGACATAAAAAACTTCCTGCATACATGTTTTAAATTTAGAAATTTTCTGCCTGGATGACTCAAAAGCAACTGGAGATGAAAAACATGAAACTTGGCTTATTTTAACTGTAAAACATTTTGTAAATAAAGGCAAGTTTCAAGAAAAATAATTCAGTAGTTTTAAATTTACACGTGGTTTGAAGTGGAAGATTGTATACATGATTGATAGAATGTGCCATAAGGATCCAAGTTAACAACATTTGCATACCACAGTTTGTTTAGCACAGTAAGTTCTAACTACATTGGTATCATTTAATAGGTTGCAAGTGTCTATTGTTAGCTTAACTATCTAATTAGGATCATTTATTATTCAGCTACACTACAGTGGGCAAATCCCTCTTCATAACCTTTGTCCTAACGTCACATGCCTGTCCACATGTGGGGAAAAATTCTTAACTTACTGCAGTCTGCACTAATGCATAAGGGAATAAAATCTGTCAGTGATTGCTACTACCAAGATAAGCTTAAGTTTTATATGGGGCCATAGTACTGAATGGTGCCTATACACATGCTCTGATTTGTTCTAATTAGAACGCTCTAGCATTGCTGTAGTGTCATGTATATAAGCCCCTATCGGTTTAAAAATGGCTGCTGGGATGCTTTAGTTAAAAATGTCCTGTGGCCATTACTAAACGTGCAGGGGCTTAATATATGTAATGCTGCAGCATTTTAATTAGAGTGGTTCTCCAGAAACTGCTCTAACTGAAATGCCCTCCTCCCCCTGCACATGTATAGGTACCCAAAGTGATTCCACTGGCTAATTCTGGTGACTAGGCAAATCTGAATTTAGCTCTTAAAATGTCAACAACTTAAATAGAGCCAGAATATTTAACTCATGGTTTTTTGTTTGGTAGTTACAAACTAACCAAATTGGAAGAAATAAATTAAGGATAACTGTAATTTAGGATGGAAGAGTCTAATGCACAAATCATAATTGGGGAATGACTGGCTAGGCTGCTATGTTGCAGAAAAGGGTCTGGGGTTATAGTGGATTGCAAGCTGAATACGAGTCAACAGTGCAGCAATGGCAAAACTCACTGGGATGTATTAGCATATGTAGTCTGGAAACTAATTTTTTTCTAAAGTAATTCAGCCTTCTGACCCTGAAGTATTATATCCAGTTTTGGGTTCTTCACTTCAAGAAAGATGTAGACAGATTGGATAGAGTCCAGCAGAGATCAACACAAATTTGTAAGAACTAAGTACAGAGAGTCAAAAAAACCTGAGGCTGAATCCATTCAATATTTGCAGGTTAGTCTAAACTGTACAGATTGAACTGAGAAGCAAGTGAACAGACATGCATTTTTGATTCTGGAAATGCAGCCACATGCCTGCAGTGCCTCAGGCCGGAAGCTGAGGGGTGCTAGAGCATGTCTTCCCTTCCCTTTGGCAGTGTCCAGAAGGCTGGAGGGAAGTTGGGAGAGAAGCCCTCTGAAGCTTTCCCCCCTTCCGTGCTCAAGCTGAGGGGCCTATTGCCAGGCCCCAGCAGACATGCCGAGTACAATGGCGGGGATTTAAATCCCCAACATGGCTTGCATGGACTGGTTCCATAAACTGATATGATCTAAATCAGTTCTATCTGATACTACATCCAATCAGATTTGTCTCGAACCAATTCTGGCCATTTTGCAAGTGGTTTAAGTGCACTGGACTTCTGTTGTGTTACAGGTTTAAACTGGTTCCAAGTCACTTAAACTGGTTTATGTGCAACTTCTGTCCCTAGCCAAGAGGTCTAGAAAACTTGATGTATAAGAAGAGGTTGGAAAAATGGGTTATTTAGTCAGGAGAAGCAAAGATTGAAGGGGGATTCACATTGGCACTGGATGGTTAGAAAGAGGATGTGACTTCCACAGAGAACAGGACAAGAAACAACAGTTTTAAATTGTGATGCGGGAGGCTTAGTTTGGATATTAGGAAGAACTTTCTACTTTTGAGGATGGTTAAATACTGCAACAAGTTACCTAGAGGGGTTGTGGATTCTCCATCCTTGGAAATTTTTAGGCAAGACAAGCATATTGCTAGAATGTCCTAGACCGGGATGTTCTTGCCTGGAGCCGTGAGTTGGACCAGCTGACCTCCTGTTGTCCCTTCCAGCTGTATATATTCCTCGAATTCTGAACTGTATATGAGAACAATATATTTCAACAACTTGTTCCATACGATTGTATATGCAAAGTATAAAGCTCTGATAATTGCTCAGGGAAAAATACTAGGATCTTGTCTTAAGATACTAATATCATGGTAAATGATATTAGTTGACAAATGCTGAATCTTTGCTGAATCAATGAGTAGTATCTTAATTTTGGATGGAAACTCATCATTTAAGGTCTGGCTCAGCATGTGGGCTATGATCCTTCCTTAAAGAATAGGCAATTACAGCACTTTAAGTAGATAATACATCCAAACAGGAATTCATGCTGTTAATATAAAATTAAAGTATGCAGTAATTTTCTTTTTTCACATGTCAGCTTGATCTGTTCAATTAACAGCTAAGGTTATTTGGAAGGTAGGCTACAGGGATAGAAGAATGTTTGCAGGGGAAATCCAATTTGTCTTCATCAACAGAAAATGCTAACACTTTGGCCTGTTTGTTGTATCTTGCAGTTAATGAACATTAAATTATATTTTGGAAAAGCTGCCATTCAGCCATTTGGTCTTTAAATAAAAGCAGTTTTCAGTGTCCTGACTGCTTTATTAGGCAACAACCTGTTTTTGATAGCCTAACAAAATATATCCCCAAGTATTATCCATGTTCTTTGCTTAGTTAAATTTCCTGCAAAGGTAACATTTTGCATATTGTGTAGACAAGTATTGGCTGGTATAGTAATTGTTTATTATCAGGGTTACTCAGCACTTCTCCTAAGACCTGTGTTTCACCTACTTCACCTTTTACAACATATTAGGTGTTTTGGTCAAAATTTTCCATGAAGGAGAACTGCTTCAGGCTGATTTTTGGAAAATTTCGGACAAAACTGTTCAGTTGTTTCCAAGAATAACCTTATCTTTCTGATGCGTTAGCATCAGCATGCATTGGAGCAGAAACTTGAAATATGGCAATTGTAACCTGTCTTTTGAATCACAGATGTGCTTTCTTTCATCCCCACAAAAATCTGGTTGAAAAATTCAAGTTCACATATGACAGGCAGAGACTTTCAAGAGATTTTAACAGCTAAATCTATGATGATACTGTCCTATCTGGGCACGCCCTAATCTTCTGACTACTCCTAGTGTTGACTAGACTGTTTATTTGCTATCAATGCAGAGTGTTTGAGTGTGGCCCATACCCTCACTGGTACTCTTTTTGTCAGGCAGTGAGACTGAAAGCAGGGTCACATTCTGCAGTGCTTTTTTTTTTCTTTCTTTCTTTCTTTCTTTTTTTTTTTTTTACCCTTTCCTCCCATTACCTGGTATTTCGGGTGGGTTGGTTGGGGTGTGTGCATGCACACCTGTACCTTTAATGTGCTGAGAAAATGTTCAGTATAGCTATCCACATTATATTCTTAAGTGAAATTGATCCATGTATAAAACTGATGCATGTGTTTTGTTTCTTTTTGGCAGGAAATGATGTATGTTTGGAATGGTTTTGCAGTTGTAGGCAAAAGAACAGACCTTACAGAAAGTTTATTAATAACAATTGAAAAAGAGGAAACTGCTCTACAGAATGAAGCTAGTAAGTAGTCATTTCAGGGGAAAAAATATAACTAGCAACACAGAAAAACCTGTTGGTTCATTTTGCAGTATATTAATGTGTTCTATAAGGAGCAAGATGGAAGACTGAATGGAATTCAACACTTACAGCTAACTGTAGTCCCAATGAAATATCCCTAAGAGCAACAATGCAAAGTTATTTACATTTACATATATTTCATCAACATTTGATTGGCTCAAATCAGAGTATGGGAGACTAAATAACTTTGAATAATTTAATAAGATGTCATTAAATAATATCCAGTATCTGAGGAGATGAGCTAAATGATTTGACCTGGAAAGGTCTGAAAAAATACTTAAGTTATATTCGAGGCAAGTTCTGCCACTGTGCAATATTGAGACTATTGAGTAAAGATGAGTGGAGTTTGGTTAAATATAAAAGATAGGGATGATATCAGTGGAGTAACCTAATATATCCACAAGAACAATAAATATATAAGAACAGTAAATATATAGAATAATAATAAAGTGTGAAATTATAGTATTACAATGAGCATTAAAAGAAACAACATTTATTAATAACTGTAAAGAGAATTTTTGTAACTTCAGTGCATAGAAATTAAAAGCAAGTATTTTCAGATTAAAATCATTACTTAATTTAAATTATAGGCAAAAGTAATCAGAAGAAAAGTATACCATAAAAGTGATACCTGTACACACTTTAATAATGTGCTTATTCTCCTTGACTCAGGTTTCTTAGGTTTGACAGCTTTTTACATAGTTGTCAGGACTCTCTCAGTTGTACATCTCTCTACTGAGCTTTACAATTACAATTTATTTTATGGAGAATTTACTTAACCCAGGGCATGAAACTTAGATAATAAAACGTTTATTTCTTCATTAAGTTTCCAATTCTTCTTTAAAAAAAATCCCTGTTTGATACTGACATCTTAATCACACATTTACTTATCATGTATAGTAGAAAAATGTTGCCTCTGCAAATGAAAATGTGTAGTTAAATAATAAATACTTAAAAGTTTGCACTGAGAATTGAAAATGGAAAGCAGCATATAAATGCTAACCTATGAGAATATTAGAAGAGGACCTAGGTCACAGAATTTTACCTTGATCTTTTTAAACCCTCATGGCTCAGAAGTGTTCAAATGCTTGGTTTCTGGGTGGGCCCATCCCTAATTGCTACTCCTAATACATGCCCTGCCTTTAAGAATGATTCCAAAATATCTCCATCTTCAAGATATAAAACCCCAACAAGGCTAAGGCTTTTGTAAAGCTGCCAAAACCTCTGAAATTCCAATCTGTAGAAGATAATTTGTAGACCTGTAAACAATCCTTTGAAATCTGGGCTACAGGAAAGAATCAAGGCAAGGTGTCAGTACAAACTGAAAGCAGGAAATGGAAGCAATGGAATATCCTGGATAGTAAAGAAAATCAAAGGGGTGAGTACAGAGCATGTAAACCCAAACTAATAATGGTCCTAATCCATATAATGATATCAATAATAATTATGATTATTTTGTGACAATTTAATTTTAATAAATAAGAGAAAAGAAGGGCATGCAAATAAAAATCCTTCTATAATCACAAAAAATATGCCAAAGGCATGTCACTATCCCATCTCTAAATAATTTCTTTGAATAAAGAAAACCTAACTGCCTCTTTCTCCAACTGGAATTAAACTAAAGTAATGACTTTTTACTTGAAAGCTGATCTCCAACACCTCAGTCTCCTTCCCAGAATATTACACCTCCATGTCTTTTTTTCCCCATTGTATCAGCATAAAACTCCTACATGTAAAGAATATATTACACAACTTGCAGGTTTAGTGTGGCAGATGTATAGCTATCATTTTAATTTTTTGCTTCTCCAAAATTATTTAGATTAACTTTGCCGATTTATTTTTATCCACAGTATATGGATACATCTTATTCCTATTAATACTAAATAATTAAATTATTTTAATACAAATTTAAGATGTGACTGGCATGTTTAGTATATGAAGCAGTCTTCTCAACTTCAAAACTACTCTTTTAAAATAAAGGCTGTAAGTTTCAGGTCTTGCACCTGCTCTTGAATTCTTCTGCCAAGGTTTAGGCTTTTACAATCACATCTTCCTGTTTTCAAGTGTCTGCCACTCTCTGAGCTAAGCTGTTTCTTCCTTATGCTGAGTCTTTTCTTTCCAGCTGAATTGTCTTCTGTATACTTGAGTTATAAATGTATTTAGCCATCTTTTTTTCTCCTGGGAATTCTTACTGGGATGTCCTTGTAGGATTTTTGGTACGTCTATACTGTTTTTGCAGCAGTCGTGAAAGCACTAGTTGAGCATTCCTTTCTACTCTGTGAGCAAACTTATAAGTGAAGAGATGAAATTGCGGTAAGGTCACACATGGCCGCTGCTTTCAAGATCTATCAGTTCGGCATGAATAAGAGAGGTGGCAGGGAGCATGCTCAGAGTGGCTTCATTGCTGTATTTCTGGGTTTAAAATGGGTGGGTGGGCATTCTTGAGAGTAAACTCCCAAGACCCTTACTATAAACCTACACTTTACATTTAAAAAGATATGATCCTATCTCTGAAGCAGGACTTGAGTAGGTGGCTGGCATCCATTAAGCAGTGGCTGCGGCATTCATTTCTCAGCTCTGCTCTATCCAGTGAGGAACAGGAGAAGGACAGGCAAACATATCACATGGGTAGCCTGGATTGTTTTACCTCTACAGTTGCTCGAATCATTAAAAAGTAATATAACCTCTGCAACTTACGAACAAATATGAACCTTTTAATGAATCTGCTAGGGTGAAACTAAATTTCATAATTTGTGGCAATTGATAAACCTACTTAGTTGATTTAATTTAGATGCATTGGAATACTAATGGTAAAAAATTACCCATCAATAACATAAATAGCATATATAACAAATAGAGTGTTTTGCAAAAAATAAGATCTAGTAAAAATAATAGGCCAGGCAGGGTGGACTTATATCAGGTGTGAAAATTTGGCTCATTATTAATCTTTCATTCTAGCCAGCATTGTTGGAATCTTCACTTTATAACAAATCAGTCTTGCACCTGTCAAATTGGGCGATTCATTTTTTTTTTAATTGCATGACATTGTTATGCTGAAGTGCATCTACATTTAAGACAGATATTTGCAGATAAAATGATCTTGATATGATGAGTTGTTTTTATAAGTCTTCTGTTTGCTATCTGGGCACGGATGCTGTGGGGAGTTGTATCTTTAGGCATAAGTACAGACGGTCAAAAAGCCTGAGGCTGAATCAACTCAGTCTTCACAGGTTAGTCTAAGCTCTGTAGATTGAACTGATAAAAGCAAGTGCACAGACATTCACTTTTGATTCAGCAAATGCAGCCACATGCCTGCAGTGGCCCACGCTAGAAGCCAGGGGTTGCCAGAGCATGCCTCCCTGCTCAGCTGGAGCTTTCATCCTGGCTTTCTGAGGGACTGTAAGTTGACTTGAATTTGGAGGGGATCTGGGACAAAAGTTCAATAAACTGATTTAACCTAAATCAGCTGTCTGATACTACATCCATCCAGGTTTATCTTAAACTGGTTTTGGCCATTTTGAAAGTAGTTTATGTGTACTGAACTTCTGTTGCGTTACAGTTTCTGATCACTTATACCAGTTTATGTGTAATTTCTGCCCCTAGCCTAGAAGGCTGTGGCACATGTGAGTTTAAACAAGTTATTGTGAGGTGTGGAGGCTTTTGCTATTGCTAACCAGTTAGAACATACTCATAAAATAAAACAGACCCTGGTCGGACTCTGAATGATTATTGAACAACGTATTCTTTTATCTAGAGAACAACCAATTTTGTACTGTCTTATCCAGAGTACAAATAGACAAAAGGAATGTCCCACTAGAGTTGAAATAAAAATGTAAAGGACACTTTGGAAAAGATTTAACACAGCACATCACTCAGTTCCCCCACATGATGGAATGCAGACAGAAGATAGTTTTATATCTGACTTGTACCAGATACCAGTTTTGCAAACCTGATGTTTTGAATAGTTTTTAGTTCAGGGAGACTAACTGAAATCACAGTAAAGAAATCTGAGGAGTTCTGTCTGTGTAAAAATGAAGTGTGGAAAAATATTTTTAAACAGTGTCTGCAAAAAGGTGAAAACTTGGAAGTTTGTGACTGATATATGGATTAAGAGCTGATCTTTCACTTCTGGGAGGCAGTAAAATCCTGATAAAGGCATTTGACCATAGTTTGGGACTGTGATTATTAAGTCTTTTTAGCTTAGTGTACCGTCAAACTGTAGCACTGTAATTTACTAGTTTTTAGATCTGGGGAAAAATCTCTGGTACATAGCAGTTGAAGTAGTAGGCAAAGACTGAAAACCATCAGTTACAGGAAATCAGTCCTTGGGGTGGCATCTGTCTCTTTCTGTTTCCTGATTCCTTCTCTGTGTGACAGAATAATGCAAAATGCCCACTTCACTTCTGTGTATCAATAAAAAAATGGATTTTTGCATTGTTGGTAAAAGCACTGAAACTAATCATTTTTAAAAGTAGACGGCAAGCATTCTACATTCAAGACTGGCAAAACATTTAGTTACGTTTCAAGATGCTTTAGCTGTCCATGTTTGCAGAACTGTTTGTATAGCTGTATTTGGCAGACTATTTTTAAAAAATTAATGTAACCTAAGAGAGCTGGTAATTACTTGTAAACAAGATGATCTGAAAGGAGGGTGTTTTGCTTCCTGAATTGTTAATGTATGTGCAGCCATCTGTCTCTCCATATGTGTTTTCTTTCCTTTCTTTTGCTGCAACCAGCTAATGTTATAAGCCAACAAGAAAGGACCACACATGCTACTACTGAAATTCTGAAATACTTTGCAAAGCTCCTTCATGTCTTTGGTAATACAGAACAGAGGCTGCTTCTGCATAAACCCTTTTTCTGTTAAATTCTCCCGCTGTTACACCTCTGCTAATGCAGCTTCTCCAGTGGGAGGGGCAACTTAGTGTGGAAAAGATATTGTAGGCAGACTCACAGTGCAAAACAAGTGTTCTGTCAGTACATAGCTAGCACCACAGGGATGCTGCCTGAGCATGTCCCCACGTGGTTCCACTGCAACAGCTGTGCTGGCAGGGTGTGCAGTGCACCCTGGGAAGCACCAGCTGTTAAAGGGGCTGCCAGCAGAGAATGTGGGTGTGTCTACACATGCTTTCGAGCAGCTTTTCTGTGGCAGCAGAAGCCTTCTGTTTCTCACAGAGCAGGTGTTGGTCTGCTGGCAGAATGAAGGGGTTCTGTTCCCACAGGGGAACTGCGGGTGTTAATGCACTTACAGCTTTGTTGGCAGAATCTTAGTTCTGCAAAAAATATGCCTCCATTTTGACATGATAAAGGTTTGTTACTTTGGACAGGTTTAAATGACTCCATGATATAGAATAAAAGTCCCTGTGTATTTTGAGTAGTTGCCTGCAGGAATTACTGTATTGACATGTTGAGATTTTTGTCCTTGGTTGCTTTATTGGGAGCAATTCAAAACTGGTATCAGATGTCATCTAAGTCCTTGTTGGTGCAAAATTTTGATAAACTAAACTCCCTTACTTATCCCTAGAGCTTTTTATAATGCATGTCTAAAAATGGCTTTTGTTTCTGTTTTGAGATCATAGTGAATACTACATGGATGATGTATGCTTGCTGCAGTTACTAAAAGGCCTCTGTCTGAAATACCTGGGAAGACTCTTGCAAGCTGAGCTGTGTTTCAATCAAGTTATCCAAAGGTAAAAAGGATAGTAATTAAAGATGTAAACTTCATATTGTGCAGTATGATAAAACGTTTTAGGTGAAAATGTCAGAATCCATGCACACAGGAATTCCCTTGGAAGAAGCAGACTTTGCGCTAGGAATTCCTTGTGGTTGTGAGGACAGAATTGGCATTTCTCCCAAAGATGGATGGAGACCATGTGGCTACATGGCAATCATTTCTGTACCTCTTGTTGGGGCATTTGGCCCCCACTTCTGTATCAGAAAAAAATGCTTACTTGCTCAGGATCTCTCTCTCCCAAAACTCGCTTCCCTGCTTCTCTTTGATTCCTATCTTGAACTATAAAGCAAAGAAGCTCCACAACTACACCTGGATGCCATTGAAAACCAGAGATGGCAAAAGAGAAAAGGGTAAAAAAAACAAAACAAAAACGAGCGGTACTTTCTCACACTGACCTTGTGCTCTTTCACTGCCCTTTAATGAGACAATAGATAAAACAGTTTTTGATTTGATTAGTTAAAATGAGTTATTTACCTTAGGTAGAGGGAGATTGAAGCTTACCCACTTTGGCGGATCCTGTCACAAAAACACTAATAGAAGAGATGCTAGGTGAGACACACAGAGACTGTGAAAAGCAAAGGCAGACCCTTCCAAAGGAAAAAGGGCCTCACTTCAAGACAGTTTTGGACTCTGAGAAATGGGGCCATTTTTTTATCATAGTTTAGTAAGTCTTGATTGCTTAGACTGGACAGGATGTTCTGATATTTATAAAGCCTCTGAGTAGCTCCCTGAGGCGTGTTCTCAGACGTCTTTCACTGTTTTCAATAAATGTGTTCATGCTGAATTTCCTTTTGGTAAGGAATTTTTTACTGCTTCCATTAACATTTGGCACAGCTGTTCTTTCCTGGTGTTCACCAAGCAAAGGGGCACTGAGATGATTGCCTGACTTTTCCTGTCACACTTCATATTTTATGTTCAGGGTCTGAGGTGTGGCAGGAAGAACCAGAAGAAGGATTACCAGTTCATTTCTGTTTCTCTGCTAGTGACTTAATCCTATGAATGGACAGCTTTTTCAACATTCAAAACTTCACAGGGTTTGGTCCAGTGCTGGGTCTATATAGCCTGGATTGGCTTAGAACAGTTTAGAACATGCAGAACAGCTTTGCCTGCTGTGATTTTGTGGCTTTGATAGAGACAATAGAATCAAAGTTTCTCAGTATTCACGTAAGAGTATTTTGTTAACTGACAATTCCAAAGGCATTCATGAAGTTAGTATTCTAAATGTTGACATATGTGTTTCCGTTCATTAAACTTGTCAATGAACCAGGGCAATTGTTAAGTTTAACCAAACACATTTAAGTCTAAGGTGCTGGCTGTTACAGCAGTTAATTCATTTATAATCCCAAGGTTTGTTGTATTTCGTATAAGTGCGGTGAGGAAGAGTCTATCTGCTGTCTTGTCTGACCTATGAAAAATATTAGGGACAGGAGTCTCAAAATAAGGAGCTTAAATTTAGACTTCTAAAATATGTTTAGAATATTTCCAGCAATGAAAAAATAATCACTCAACAATTCAGTGAAGTTAATGGAAACTATTAAGGACTCAAAACTTTTAGTGATCAGTCAAATGCATTGATTTAGTTATAAGGCAATCAGAACTCGTAGTAGAGATGATATCTTTTATTAACCAAGAAGATTTTTGCAAAAAAATTTCTTTAACTGCAAGCTTTTGGGCACAAACACCCTTCATCAGGCATATAGGAGCTTAGTCCTAGGCTTTTGTGTGTTAAAACATTAGCTTAATTGAAATATACTTTGCATTTAAGTTAATAATCGTTAAACTTGAGTGCAACATGCATTTCATGTTTAATACTGATAATTAACCAATTATGTGTGTCTGCTTTCTTAGTGAAAAACAGATAAAGTATGATAACTACTTGGTGCCATTCACCCTATATGAGTTGGGACTTCTGTACAAACAGCGGGATGAAAGAGAAAAAGCAATACGATACATAGAAACTGCAAAGTAAGTGGAATTGATGTTTGCCTCTGTGCAATATTCCCTAGAGTAAAACTGAGGCGCGCCAAACAAAAAATTGATCTTTCACATGCTTTTTTATATTTTGTAAAGCCTCTCATAAAGAAATACTGCAGCTTTTACAAGAATACTTAAAAAATGTTTTCCAGTAGAAATTACTTTTTAAAGCATATGCATCATATATACTTTCTACTTTATAATCTACTTTATAATGTAAGGTACATTTATATTCTACTTTGGCTATGCCATGTCCTCTCAAAATGGTATGTTGAACTAAACCAAGTGGAGTGCTGTATTAAAGGCATATCCGACCTCCTTTCCATTCAAATGTATGTCAGAGAGAAGGTGTGGTTTTGCTGCATGGAGGCTGGTGAATTGGAGAGAGAATGTAAAAGATCCCTACCTCCTGTGCATATAAGTAGGTTCACAGGATGCCTGTTATGCTGTAGTGAAGGAGTTTATGGGTGGTAATAATGGCCTGGAAGAGCTAGTGAATTTTGAGCTACATGTATTCAGTGTCCACTTTTCTCTCTCCTCCACAGGCAGGAGGGAGGAAGGGAAAAATTCTGCGTATAGCACAGGCCATTCGCCCAGTCTGTGCACTGGAACTTTCCCCTGACTGTTGGCTGTAAAATAAGTTTACAGTGCAGCAGTGTGACAAGAGTCCTACTTTCAGAGCCCCTCTAGAAGTGTGGCTCCGCCCTCCTGCAATGGGCCAACTGCGTGCTTACTCGCCTGCCATGCCTTGATTTTGATTAACAGATGATTGTAATCGGCAGGAGGCTGCCCATTTCTACATGCCCTGATGACAGGGGGCGCTGTCTGCGGCTCCTGTTCCTCCCCTACACCGCAGCCCAAGCCTCGCAGATGGTGCTGATGTGATCTGACTTGGGCCTTGTTGTTATGTCTCAGCCCTCCATTTGCTCTCAGGGCTCCCCGCCGCCCCTCCTCACTCTCTCTTGGGGCTCCCCGCCACCCCTTCGGGGCTGGGCCAATGCACCCCACAAAATACTGCGCCTTCTGTGGCACCAGGAACCCCACGCTACTGGGAAGTCCCTATGAGGCCTCCTCCAACCCCTAATAGCCTCACCCGGTCCTCCGGTAAAATAGTGAACATAAAACACAAAGCTCCTGGGCTACAACATAAAAGCTAGACCGTCCTGGTCAGAAGAAAACAATAGTACCTCCCTGCTAGAGACAGCGAGCACACCAATCCCCTCAGCAGGATTTAGGGAATGTTCCCGCCATCCCGGTTCACCGCTTTGTGCTGGCTGAGTTCCTCCTCCCTCGGCTGCCGGAGGGAAACTGCCCTCCTGGCCTCCTGCCTGGGCTTAAGAAAGGCCAAGCCCTGCCCCTTCCTGTCTCTAGGTTTACCCTGGTTGCCGTAGCAACCAGCACCTGCGCAGTCCTAGTGACTGGCAGCTGAGCTTCCCTCTTTCCGCTACCAGGGGTCTCCCCCGAGCCGTTTTTGCTCTCAGTCACAGGGCCCCTACAAGCTCTGCAACACACCTCCCCCCCCCTTCAATTCCAGACTCACCGAGTCTATCTTCCTCCTTGCGGGTGTTGCCTCTGCCAGAGCTCCTCTCTGGACCTGTTTTCTGACACCCGACAACCTGGACACAGGAGGCGGAGGTTTTCAGGCGCCTCCTACTCGCCTTTTCCCCAAGGGCGCACCATGTGGGATTTGTTGGGAGTTACCTGCCACAAGTAGTCCCCTCACATTAGCCAGCCTTGGTAGGGTGCCCTTCGGCCTGTAGGGCCCCAGGCTTGATAACTCTGCGGCTGGGACGTTAGACGCTGCATCGTCGCTCTGGGGGGGCTGTCCCTCTGAGGCCCTCTTCCTTCTCTCTCCTGACAGGCCGGCCCTGACTGGAACGGCCGATACTTAGAGTGATCACCCTGCCTGCCCATAACAGGGTTCGTTTTCCCTGCCATCCAACCCCTCTTCTTTCTTGTCTGGGATCCTCCTGATTCTCCAGGCCCCCCTTCTTCCTCGTATTGCCTTGAGAAGAAGTCAGCATTTGTATTCAGGGTCCCTGAGCAATGTTTTATTTCAAAACAATACAGTTGTAAACTCAGGGCCCACCTCATCAGCCAGCCTAGCATTGTCCGTCTTCATATTTTGTAACCAGCGTAACGGCGCGTGATCAGTGTGAACTGACGTCCTAATAGATAATACCGCAATGTTTCGATAACCCATTTAATTGCCAAACATTCTTTTTCTATCTTGGCATAATTTGGTTCTGGGGGATGCAATTTCCTACTTATGTAGGCTATGGGTCGTTCTTCTTCACCCTCTCTCTGCATCAGCACTGCTCCAATAGCTACCTTTGAGGCATCTGTCTGTACTTGGAAGGATTTATTAAAGTCCGGTGTATATAAAAGGGATTGCAAGCTTCTTCCACAGCCGGTGTCCATCTCACCTTGTTCGGAGCTTCCGCCTTCGTCATCTCAGTCAAAGGCTCCACCACCTCCGAGAAATGAGGTACAAACCTCCTATAATAATTGGCCAACCCCAAAAAAGCTCTCACTTGCTTTTTAGTATGAGGAGCTTGATAGCTCTGTAAGGCCTCCACCTTGCTTAATAATGGTTTTACCCGTCCGCTCCCTACTAGGAATCCCAGATATTGGGTTTCTTCCTTTCCTGTTGTGCATGTCTTCAGGTTGGCTGTCAACCCGGCCCTTCGAGTCCTGCACTACCACTCTCAGTGTGGTGAGGTGTTCTGCCCAGCTTGCGTTGTAGATTACAATATCATCAATGTAAGCTGCGGCGTAGCCTCTATGGGGAGCCAAAATTCTGTCCATTAGACGTTGCAATGTAGCGGCAGCTCCATGTAATCCGAAAGGCATCCATCGAAATTGGAAAAGACCCCAAGGGGTGGCGAACGCTGTCTTTTCTTGATCCTCAAGAGCCACTGGGATCTGCCAGTACCCTTTTGTCAGGTCTAGGGTGGTGATATAGCGAGCTTGTCCGATGTTCTCTGTCAGCTCGTCTATCCTTGGCATTGGGTATGCATCAAATCTCGCTATTGCATTCACCTTCCAGAAATCAATGCAAAGGCGAATTTTCCCATCAGGCTTAGGTACTGCCATGATAGGGCTCCGCCAATCGCTGTGTGATTCGCATATAATGCCTCTCTTCAGCATCATTGTTATTTCTGTTTTTATTTGGCTTTGCAGTCTTTGGGGAATCCGCCGCCAGTGCTCACGGACCACCTGGCCCGGAGGAGTTCTTATTCAATGCGCCACACCCCTAGCTTCCCCAGGTGTTTCCCAGAATACATCTCCATATTCTTTGATTAGCTCGGTGGCCTGTCTTCTCTGTGTTTCTGATAATTGTGGGGCCAGTTCCACGTCCCCCAGTCCACTCTCCTCAGTCAAGGAGGGTCCCAATTCCAATTCCTTGGGCTGGAGAGATAGGTACATGCCTTCCTGGACCTCTCACTTCTTTAACATGTTAATGTGGTATACGTGCTGCTTCTTCTGTTTATCTATCTGGTACACCTCATAGTCTATGGGCCTTACCTGGCGTATCACCTTGTAGGGCCCTTGCCACCGCCAAGCAGCTTACTTTCTCGGTCTGGCAATAGAACCAAGACGCGGTCTCCCACCTCCAATTTTCTTGCCCGTGCGCCTCGGTTATAATATCTCATTTGACGCTGTTGCGCCTCCCTGAGATTTTCTAGGGCTGCACTTCAGGCTGTTTCCAGATGTTCCTGCAGATGTATGACATATTGGATTAAGTTTTGGTCTCTACTCTGCTGTTCCTCCCAACTTTCCTTAATCAGATCCAGGATCCCTCTTGGTTGGCGGCCGTATTATAATTCAAAGGGTGAAAACCCGGTTAAGGCTTGCGGTGCCTCCCTTACCGCAAACAACAATGGTGGTATCATTTTGTCCCACTCCTGGGGTCTCTCGACCACGAACTTCTTTAACATTTGCTTCAGCGTTTGATTGAATCGTTCTACAAACCCGTCTGTTTGGGGGTGGTATATTGCTGTTCTCAGGTGTTTAATTCCTAAGGCCTTGCTCACTCCCTCAAACACCCGCAATGTGAAATTCGTTCCCTGATCTGTTAGCATTTCTTTAGGGAGTCCGACGTGGGAAAATACCTTCACCAGCTCATTTGCCACTTTGGGGGCAGTTACGGTTCGCATTGGCACTGCTTCCGGATATCTTGTAGCATAATCCAGTAGCACTAAGATATACTGGTTCCCGGTGCTACTTTGGGGAAGCGGCCCCACGATGTCCAGCACCACTCGCTCAAAGGGAACCTCCACCAAACGTATTGGAACTAAAGGAGCCTTTGGGGGTGGTCGTGGATTCACTTTTTGGCACACAGGACATGAAGCGCAATACTTTGCCACTTCCTGCAACAGTCCTGGCCAAAAAAACCTTGCCCAAACACAGGCTTCAGTCTTATCCCTGCCCAAATGTCCCCCCATAGGGAGCTTGTGAGCCACCTTCAATAAAGCTCGTCGATAGCGCCGAGGCACCAGCAACTGTGCGAACTCCTCTCCTTCCGGCTTCCCCAACTCCACTCGATAGAGGAGGTCTTTCCTGATCTCGAACCTCGGCATCGTGTTCATCAGCGCCGGCCGTAAGATCTCTCCATTTCTTTGGGCCAGATGGTCTCGTAATGCTGGCTGAAAATCAGGCTCCCGACTTTGCTCCAGCTGGAAATGCTTGTCTTCCCATAGGTGTGAGATGTCCACTTCTTGTTCACCCCTTTCATCGGGAGGGCGTACTTCGACTGTGCCTGTGAATACTTCTGCCTTCTCCCCTAGCCTCACGTTGGTTACCTCCTCCATCAGTTCAGGCCAGTCGCAGCCCAACACCACTGGATAAGGCAAATGTTCAGTGTCCCGGGGCAAGGGGAGGACATGGACCCCAAAGGGTCAAGGAGGGACTCTGGGGGACAACACACCCCAGGGAAAACATAAGAGAAGGAAAAACAAGCAAAAACACCCTACCTGCTGCAGGAACCGCAGCGGGACTGGAAGCGGCGGTGGGACCCGCGCGGCTCATTAGCTGCTGTTTTTTTTTTAAGTGATAGCAGCTGGAGAGAAGGGGGAGGAGAGCCAGCATGGAAGGATAAGAAGGGGAGACAGCAAGACAGAAGGGGAGGAGAGGTGGAGAAAGAGCAAAGAGAGAGTAGCTCCTGGACCCACTGAGGAGGCGGCAGAGCTGGAGAACGCTGCCCATAGAGCAGGAGAACACCCAGACAAGCACCAGTATAAAGACGCTATTACCAAGCTTAGAAGGACAGAGGTATCCAGGCTGCATATCATCCTGAAGCCATGAGGAGAGCCTGCAGGAGGGTCCTCATCAGCAAAGGCTGGTTCCAGTGAATCGCACAGGAGAGAGGTGAACGATCAAGGGGCTAGCTAAGACCATTTCATCCTGGATGGAAGACCCGGGAGAGCCCATTGAAGGAAAGTTTCTTCTCCGAGGCGGAAGGGACGTCAAGGGGTGGATGCACGTAGGGTATACTAAGGGTAGGGAATAGGTAGTACTAAGGGGCAGCCAGTGGAGGGGGGCACATTGTAACTTAGTTGCCCCAGGATAGTAATCAGTGGATTATTAAGAGGTGATAGGCAGTTTGTTGCTAGCATCTTTTCTTTTTATTTGTTATTTTTTATTGCCTGGGACGCCAGGGTAAAGTAAGGCGGAGGGCTAGGTAAGGCCAAGGATTTAGAGGGCCTAGTTTGGCTCGGCCATACAACCCAGGCTCAAGTGAGACCCAGGAATATGTTCTCGCAGAAGGAGGGCTGACCGCGGAAAACAACATCAGCACACCGTCGTGGCTGGGTATAGGGCGAGGTACAGGGGAGGTTGGAGCCTCGTGAAGACCATCACCCCTCGGCCTGAGATAACCAAACCCGGACGGTTGGACCCCTCCACCACTGATAAGATCATCAAAGTCGTGGCAGGTGGGATTAGGAGGGGATAAGGCTGCCCGAGGTGCGAGCTCGTGGCCCTAATACCTTTGGGACGGAGCGGAAGACCATCATCAAGATCCAGAGCCGAGCGGCGAGGGACCGGATGATCAAGGCCTGGCGGGTACATTCAGCAACTCTGACCAGCATCTGTCGGATCTTCTTGCCCACTTGCCCACACTTGCAGGGTGGCCCTCACCCTGTTGATCTCCACACCAACATTGCACTGTCACCCGATAGGCTACCCCCTTTTCTTTTGTTGGTACCACATCCTCCCATACCATAGTCTGTAGTGAGCCGGAATCTAACATAGCTTGTACCTTCCTCCCATTGACTATCACCTCCACCGTTAGTGCGGGAAGTTCATTTCTTGCTTCAGTGTCGACTTGGGTCTTGTAGCCACACATCCCTACCCAAATCGTTGGTCGTGGGTGGGTGCCCCCCTTCGTGTTGGCTACCAGTGCTCTTCGTCCTATGTCATGGTTCCGTAGGCTTAGTGTTGTCCGGTAGGGCCGACCCTCCACTTGCCGTTGCGGCTCGGTGTCTGGCATTGGTATCCGTTCCCGTCGCACTCTCTGGATGGACCCAAGGGCTCGTCTCTTCACACGGACCAACCAGCCTTTTAGGGTGCGGGTGGCCACACGAAAGTTTCCCGGCCAATATACCATTGTGAAAGGAGTTCTACTCTCGGAGCCCCTCTGGAAGTGTGGCTCTGCGCTCCTGCAGTGGGCCAACTGCCTGCTTACTTTCCTGCCACGCCTTGATCTTATTTTGAGTAATAGATGATTGTAATCAGTGGGAGGCTGCCCATTTCTACGCGCCCCAGTAACAGGGGGCGCTGCCTCCGGTTCCTTTTCCTCCCCTACACCACAGCCCAAGCCTCGCAGATGGTGCTGGTGTGATCTGACTTGGGCCTTGTTATGTCTCGGCCCTCCATTTGCGCTCAGGGCTCCCCGCTGCCCCTCCTCACTCTCTCTCGGGGCTCCCCGCTGCCCCTCCTCACTCTCGGGGCTGGGCCAATGCAGTATTTTGTGGGGTGCGCCTTCTCTGGCGCCAGGAACCCCACGCTACTGGGAAGTCCCTATGAGGCCTCCTCCAACCCCTAATAGCCTCACCCGGTCTTCCGGTAAAATAGTGAACATAAAACACAAAGCCCCTGGGCTACAACATAAAAGCTAGACCGTCCTGGTCAGAAGAAAACAATAATACCTCCCTACCAGAGACAGCGAGCACACCAATCCCCTCAGCAGGACCTAGGGAATGTTCCCGCCATCCCGGTTCACCTCTTTGTGCTGGCCGAGTTCCTCCTCCCTCGGCTACCGGAGGGAAACTGTCCTCCTGGCCTCCTGCCTGGGCTTAAGAAGGGCCAAGCTCTGCCCCTTCCTGTCTCTAGGTTTACCCTGGTTGCCGTAGCAACCAGCACCTGTGCAGTCCCAGTGACTGGCAGCTGAGCTTCCCTCTTTCCGCCACCAGGTGTCTCCCCCAAGGCATTTCTGCTCTCCGTCTCAGGGCCCCTACAAGCTCTGCGACAAGCAGTTATACGTGAGATACTGTAAAGATTTAAATACCCTTTAAGGTTTAATTAATATATCACCACTAGATTTTCTTAAGTTTTAATTAATCTATCATCATTGGATCCTCCCATTTCCTGCCGTCTGCTGCAGTCTGGGGTTTTTTGTTGATCTCTGTAGGCTTATACAGGGTGCTGTATTTGAAGCTGTCCCGTGTCCATACTTGTTTCTGCAGTGTCCAGTGTACATACCTGACTGCAGTGTACTAAGTAGTGCTGTTTTTTCTATCAGGGTTTTTAATTCCTGTCTTTACAGTAGATCTGACTCATGTTCTGAAGTGATGAAGACTGTTGAAAAGGACCAGATGAAATGAAGGGAAGAGAAAGAAACAGAATGTTGCTTGGATTTTTCTAACTCATTAAATTATTTTGTTCTTTGCAGAAACAATTACAAGGATTACTCCATGGAGTCCAGGTTACATTTTAGGATTCATGCAGCACTTGACAGTCTGAAAGTGACTCCTGCTTCAACGCCTTGACTTACCCAAAGAAGGATCTTCTTCATGAATGCAAGTGTCTACGCAATCTTGTTCAATAGGTGTAAAAAAAATCATGAAAAAGAAAAAAATTATATTTTCTATCATCTTTTTGATTTACTATTTGTCATACTTTAGGCTGTTCTTTTCTATGATGCCTATACAATATTTCTGCTTGACACTTTTAAGAAATACCTTTTATTTAATTTGCTAAAATAATGTAACGTTTGACTTGAATGGGGCCAGTTGCAGGTGCAATAAAGTAATTAAAATACTTTATTTTTTATGTAAAAAATAATGTTGTTTATGGAGCTGTTTGAGTCTAGGTAATGATTTTGGCATTCCATGGAGACTTGATTATCTGCAATATGCTTATTAGGATTTTTCTGCCTCTGGAATAAATTTGCTGGCTGCTAAGAGTCTGTCATACAGTACACCTCTGACATTGGAATTTTTGTACCAAGGAGAAGATGCATTATCTTTGGGCCAGAAGATGAAAAATGCTTAATTTTCCTTCGAGAACATTTTGTTTTCCGTGCAATATTTTTACCATATTCTTAAAGACAAAATTAGACACTGCTGTAATTACATTGGCTTGACAGTCCTGTGTTTCAATCCAAACAAATGATTTCAGGGAGTACGTTCCCGTTTTGTTGGGTTGCAGCCAAAATATATGAATATTTGCAGCAGTGTACCCTTTCCCAGGTTGATATGTATTCTGAACTGTTCCATTAGCATTAGTAAGTTACCTGTGCATCAGTAGAGTAAACTTTAGCTCTCTCCTTCCCCCACCCTCAAAAAGGAAAAATCAGTACAGTTAATACTACTTAATAAGGAATATAAAACATGAATGGTTTCCTTCAAAATTATTTGGTGAGCTACATCTAATCATATGTTCACTTTTCCCTTTTCACTCTTAATAGTTCCCAATTGTTATATAACAGTCCATAATTTAGGAATATTTTAATCCATTTTACTGAAAACCAAAAGCTAAATGCACTGATTTTGCAAGTTATCACTTTACAGTCTATTTCTGTTTTACAAGTGTTACTATATTATTCTTGTATGCTGAATTAATAATATAGTAACTATGCAGTTGGATATGATTTAATATCAGGAAAAGGAAAGAAACCAAATCAAGAGGAAACATCTTTGTTCAGATTTACTTATCCTCCATTAAAGTAAATTAATTCAAATTTTTATATTAAATATTTACTTTTAATGAAATGTTATAGTTATTAGAGGTGTATATGGTGGTAGCTGTGTTGGTCTGAGACAAAAAGACATACAAAAAACTAGAACTCTTGATTCCAAAACGATACCTTTTATTAGACCAACTGGAAAATAGCAAGAAAATTGTCCTTTTCTGCAAGCTTTCGGGATCAAAGTCCCTTCGTCAGGCTCTGGGAAAAGTGTAGATGGTACAAGATGGTAAAAAGTCCCCATAGGTAGGAAATAAACTTCATTTTTGCACAGAGGGAGCTGGAGATGGAAGTCTGTCCCTCTGGGTTATTATAGTTATTAGATGACTTTTTAAGACCACAGTTTCCTCCTGGACATTTTAAACAACCTTACTTTTTTGAGAATGTTTTAATTAAGTAAAAAAGTACGTGTCCTTGACACAAGAACATTCATAGCTGCAGCAATAGTAAAGAGTAACGTCAGTTTAAGAACTTTGCAATGGGATTTTTAAACTTTATCCAAGGCCAGTTGGCTTCAATGGATTTTGGTTAGGATCTTTAGAGCCTGAAGGAATAAAAACGTACCTAATTTTATTCATATGTATGAATTCAGTAAAATTATATTTTGGGTAGTTGTTTTCAGATTAGACTGTTACCGTAAAACATACAGGAACAAATTCATTTTTGTGTAATTTCAGTTAAAGTATAGGAATTTTAAAATTTTGCTCTTGATTATTAACTCAGATTGAGAGTATGCAGAATGGCTACTCATTAAGCTACACAGTACTCTGTTATTTCCCTCTTCATTTAAACTCATGGTATTGACTACCAGCTTCAAAAATAATAGGAAATGTGAGTAGCTAAAGTATGAGACCATTCTTTTTGACTTTGACACGCATTCCTGGATTATCTGCAGTTTAGTTTCTATTGGCAACCCTCTCAAACATGCAAAATGCCTCCATGTTTATTCAAAAGAGAGAGCAGTGCAATAATAATACTATATTCTATATGGAAAACAAATACATAGTGAACTGAACAGATGGATGCACAGGAAACTGGAGTAGGAGTGAAACCAGTTTTCAATGAAAGAAAACAACTGAATTGTTTGTGGTTGGCTTAGTTTGAATATAATGATGTTATAATGCTGACTGCATCACAAATCATGATTTTTGGAAAATAGGGTGCTGTATCAGGAAATAGACAATTGCTTTAATGTTTAATATATAATAATGTAGCAGGATACATTTTCGTTATCCTTTTCAAGAGTATCTGCACACACTTTCCTTTAGTAGTAATATCAACATCCCCAGTCCCTCTCTGTCTGTCTGCATGCCTCTCTCTCATTAAAATCACGGTTTTTATGTCCTCTTGTTGGAGGCGGCCATATTGTTTAAGTATGTAGTATGGTATACAGAATGGGCATATCAACATAATTTTGCCATGTGATACTATTGTTAACATTTTGATGCACTCAGTTTTCTAATATGACTGTTATAGATATATTCTCCCCATCTTTCTTGGCATTCTTGCCTGTATTAGGCTCTCAAGGGAAGCAGGTCTTCTTAGCTTCATAGTAAACTATTCATTTTTAGGTCTCAAAATAGAAAATGTAAATACAGAACATGTACACGTGTGTGAGAGAGAGAAAGTACTAATCCTTTGCACTCCCAGATTTTAGCAGAGTTCTTATGATGGATGCATTTCCAGACGCTTCATCAGAGGCTCAGGACTCCAGTATCTTCCAGTGAAGTTGGAGCAGATATTAGATTCATGTTAGAAAATGAGATTTAACCATAAGAGAAGTATAACGAAAACTTTTTAAAAATCTGCTGTATGCTGTACTGTGCAGAGCCTTAATTATAATACATCTTTAGTCTTGCTGCTGTTCAGGACTTTCATGTCAGTTGCTTTTGCCCCATATAATTCGTGAGTAATAATTTGAAACCTTAATTTCCTTCAGCAAAGTTTACCCAGATCAAACAAAAATGCAAATTAGATTGACATAAACGGACCATACATAATGTGTCCAAGCACACAGTCCCATAATTTAGACAGCACGGTTTAGCATTAATTGTAACAACAAAAAATAAGTAAAGGAAAAAGACCTCTTTACTCTTAAAATGGTAGCAGATATGTGATTTTAAAAAGGGGGAGGGTATACTCAGCATAGTTGGAATCATAAGGTAAAGTTGCATTTCACATCAGTAGTTTTATGCATTGAAATTGTTAGTAAAATACTGAGTTTATGCTTGGTGTTTGAAATTTCGTTCTGTTGGTGAAGGGTTGTTTATATATAATGTAATACGATTTTAAGCACTGGTTTACCAGGTTTTTAATGGAAACTTTAAAGAAAAATCAAAAACCTTATTGAGGAATTGTTTATATATCTTAACGTACATGAACAAACAGCTACATTCTGTACATCATAGCTGAAGAATGTATGGTAATTAGATTTCGCTTTATGCTTTTAGAACATTCGAGCATAAAGATAACAATAATCACTTCCTGTACGTGTAACATAAATCCAGCTTATGCTGTGCAACTATTTTACTACTGGTCCTGATGGTTAATGTACTTCTGTTATTGTAAACATTCATTGCATAGTTCAACAAAGACTGTTTATATTTGCCCTAGTGATGGTATTTATTTGTGCTTAAAAATACTGGAGTTTGCACATGTTAAAGGGATGCTATTTTAATATGTAATATTAGAATGAACATGGATAAAAGAAGAAAAATATTTTTGGCATTAAAAGTATAAAGAAAGAGACTAATTCATGCTGATATACTGGGTGAGATTCAAATTTCAAATAAGTTATTTATAGTTTATGTTGATGTAACTGAGAACAGAATTTGGCCCAGATTGTAACTGTGCATTAGGAACACTAAACATGAGTATGAGGAAATATCAGTGGGCAGCAGATATGTGATTCAGGCACACAAGTCCTTTAGACTGTACCTTCCCATGTAACAAGTCCTAGAAAAGAAATTGTGTTTTAGAGTATGGATGGTTAATATTAAAAAGCACTGATTGTTAGTTGCTGTACATTAGATACCAAGTAGTACCTCTGTGCATTTAAAGGAAAGTTGCAGTGAGTATTGATAACAGTATACGCAGCTGTATACTTTACAACAGGATTTTTAAAGGAGCTTAATCTCTGAGAGTTAATTTAACTGCTTATGGATATTTTGAAATTTCCAGCCCTATTGAACACAAGACAAATTCTGCTTTTTTTACATTTGTAAGCAGATTTCAGCTTCAGTAATTACACACTTAGGAAAATAAATATTCGTGCCATTTTCAATATATCTAATGTGAGTCCCTATCTCTATAACTAAGCAAAGTACTAGTGTCTCAGTGAAAGCTGTCACTTCTCTGACATTTCCTAGCAGGGGGTTCAGTGTGATGTATGATGCAAGTCACAGGTAATGCTATTCAGGGTCTGAATGCACAAGAAAGGCAAGATATTTTAAAAATAGTAAAGAACAGTAAATTCTTTTTATTTTTAGAAATTTTGTTAATCCAGTGTATGGCTGTATACTCCTTGTTATGACATTTATACAAAATATAAATCACTCGTCATAGTTAGGCCAGAATATTCTTTGTAAAAAGTTGAGCATAATTTTTGTATTGAAAGGAAGTACATGGAATGGTCAAAGCACAAAAATAATAGTTCTAGGATTACTTACTTTTTTCTGATAGAGGCACACATACCCACACTTTGTGTTGCATCTCTGTCAAATCTGTGGTCATACTTAGCACAGTGGTAATCATCACATGTCTGTACTCTGCTTTAGTGAAATAAGGTGCTCTAGTGCAGGGTTGGGCAAAATATGGCCTGTGAGCTGGATCCAGCCCACCAGGCACATTCATCTAGCTCGCGGCACCCCGCCAATGAATTGTGCCCTGCCCAGCCCTTCCACTCACAAGGGTGGGAGCGAGATGCCTACACCTGTCCTCAACATATACCCTATTATGCCTTGCTCTCACCCTCGTGGGTGGAAGGGTCGGCCCAGCTAGCACAGAGCTAGGCTGCTGCTGCAGGCTTGTCTGGCATCCTGCTCCCTCTGGGTAGCAGGCAGGGAAGGGGGCTGGGGTGGGACTGCAGCTGGGCAGAAGCATCAAGCTTGGTGCTGGGGCTGGCTGCAGCGCAGAGCCCTCACCCAAGCAAGTGGCAACAGCATGGAGCTCAACTGAGCAGGGTGTGGGTGTGAGGGAGGGGAATGGGGGCCCTTCCCTTACTCCTCTTCATGGCATGCAGCCCTGGCGGGCACCGAGGGCAGCAGCAGGGGGGGTGGCGCTCTGCTTGGTGCTGCTGCCTGACTCCTGGTTCTGG